GTTTAAAAGATAATGATCGTGTTTAAAAGATTTGATGATATCATTTCCATTATTACCTTTTTAATTTTAAATTTTTTTGAATCTTTTTAAATTTAAAAATCTTTTAATTTTATTTTTTATCACAATATGAGGTTATTGGGTTGTTCTTGCGTTCTCGTAAATCACAGGGGTTCTCGTTTGAACCCTTCTATATATATATATATATATATATAACAAGAATTTTATTTTTGAATCGCAAACGCATTTGGAAAATCTCAAAAACACAGGGACCACACGGTTTAGTCGATTTTGACTTCTACGACCAATCGGTTTGAAAAATGCTAATATTAACAACATTTTCTACCATTCCTTTTTCGTACTTTATTTAAATTTAGTATCAAATATAAAATTTTAAAAATAATTATATTTACCTTCAACTATCTTTTAATTTTAAATATTATAATATATAATTATATGATAAAAATTAATTTATGTGTATTTCTTATTTAATTTTAAATATTATAATATATAATTATATGGGACTAAATATCAATTTACTATATTACCCTTGTTTCCAATAGAAAACCTAATTACCACAGCCTCCTTCATTGACCCGTCTCTTCCACAATTTATAAAAAATAATTAATTATATACTTATTATAAAAAATAATTAAATAAATATTTCCAAAAATGCCCACACAGTCTGTGTTTTTGTGTAATTTCTTATGCTTCTTCTTCCATTCTCTTCGAATATTACACGAAAATCCATAAAAACCAGTTCCCATAAATCATATAATCTTCCAAAAACATAAATTGCATTTCAGCAAACATTTCTTCACAGAAACCCATTTTGATGCTATAGAAATGATCTTGATTCTGTTCGTTTGGAATTTTTTTTGATATAAAATAACATTGAACATCATTTAAGGGTAATATAGTCATTTTAACAATTTTGTCATATCATGTCCTAGTCGTACCAAACATGAGACAGACAATTAGTCATGACGTCCGTCCCGTCCTGTCCAGTCTAGTCTGCGTACCAAACAC